TTTACCGTTGCTTACTGCTGAATACCAGCCCGTAAATCCGTTAGCATAACTTGCTTGATGTCTGATCATACGCCAACCGTACCACTACCTGATTCCATAGCCGTAGCGTATCTAAAGTTTTGCAAACTATACCTATTGTCCGTACAACTGAACATTCGAATAAACATTAATAGTGCCTACCTGAAAATGGAGGCAAATCGGATGTGGCTTTCGAGAAAACTTTCGAGAACCTCGAGAAACACTTTCGGTTGCATTTAAGCTACTTCAGGTCCACCGTAATTATGTCAACGTATACAGGATGTTAATAAAAATGTGGGACACTTTCACTGGGTGCATAACATAACATCTTAACTTTTAATAACATTTTTCATTTAAAGGCTTTTTCGAAATAACCGAATTTAAAGAACTGCTGGATACGAATGTAATTGAATAGGATTTGTGTAGCGCGCTGTTCATTGCATTCCGTTTCTACTTACTACCATGATGAGTACAGTGAATACACGCGTTTCAAATTAATTTTCAAATTCGACTTCCTCCAAAACGAAACCTCAGTCGAAAAAAAAGTATTTCTGTCTTCAACTTATTTTTTCATTTTTTATAGAATCACTATGCTGCTGGTTGTACCACGATTTTCAAGACAGCCTGTACTTAATTTACTTTCTTCAAAAATTCTAAGTTCGTGAATTCAAAGTCATGTTATAAAATTAAAGAGACGCTTATTCTAGTCTTGCAAAAAAGCAGTATCAGTTTTGACAATTTTAGAGAAACTGGTCTTACAACGTATACTACAGTAATACGATTTTATAATACCATACAGAGTGCCCCAAAAATGTCCTCCGACCCGGAAATGGGGCACTCGGGGGGTGAATTGACTGAAGTGAAACAACTTTTTCCTTAGCAACAATGTAATCTCAGGCTTGGTTACCGAGATATTAACGAAAAACCGCGACCAATCAGAGCGCGACTATTCCAGCCGAGTTCCCGCGATTGCGGTGGCTACGCGCTACGCTTGTACCACGAAGCTCCAAACAAGTAGGTCAGCATGCATCGCAGGAAACTGCGTATAATAGCAAATAAAAAAGACGTAATCGACATCTGCCGTTTGTTATTTAAAGAGATTAATGAATGAAACGTAAATGTAGGCAAATTATATGTAACGTAAACAGATGAATGCACATTTACTTTTTTGTAAATTCCTTTTTACGAATTTGTAAATTTCCTTTTCAAATAACGTGTGAACGAAAAGGTAATGTAACAGAGAATGAACGAGAAGTGATCGTAATTCGGTATTGGTATAAAAATTCGTAGTTTAATAACGGTCAACAATGTTACTGATAATGAATAAGTTTCTTCAAAAAGCCCGAAGAAAAAATTGGGTACAGAAACTTGCAGAATTGTCGCCGGAAATAAGCCATAGCTTGCGTTAAATTAAGAAAATAATAATCAGCAATAAATTGATTAGAACTCACCCTTTCGGACATTCACCTGCAGTTTGCAAACCTGTGTCACTAGGTCACTGAACCGATCCTGGTCATCGACGGCCGAAACGGTTTATGGCAGGGTATCGCCCAGTTCGCAGGTGATCGCAGGTATACCTCACCAGCCGAAGTTAAGGGTTGTAACGTCAAGTGCGTCCTGGTTATTCCACCGAATACGTACTCACTTCACTGCACGACCACTAACACTGATCACCCGACACAATCACTTAATGTATTTTTAATCCAACGTGTTGTTCCTACGTTAGAAACATTCCTGGCCCCGGAAAGAGCAGATTGTTTAAAATGTATTAGATGTTTTACGTAGCCAAACACTTGCACAGCAGCACCCGTGTTCCGTCGTAGACCGAAACGACGGCTATAGAATCAGACAGAACCGTTACTTTTTATTAGTTTACTTCCTTCATTCAAGCAATTTTAATTTCGTTGACACAAAAAGAATAATAGACAAAAGAAGCGAACATTTGGTCTACAGTCCGGCACATGCGCTCGGTAACCTGGGACCCATCCGCGCCGGGTCTTACCGGGGCGCGCTGACTCGCAGACAATGCAGCCATAAATCGTACCGTTGAGATACTCGAAAATTCGTCGCGGTCAACTAGCACCGTGACCACGTGCGCTATATTTCCCTGACGTCCGCTTCGCCTTGAAGCAGAGGTTTTCCATCTGCACGTCGCTTGGAAAAACCGTGTAATTTGCCTTCCCCTTCAGGGCATAACCAATAAGGAGGCGAGTTTTGGTAACGCCTTCAGCAAACTTTGAGGATGCGCGACGTCACACGAAACTCACGCAATCAGTAGAAAACATTCATTCGAAAGATTCATTCGCAAACACTCGTTCGAAAACACTTGGTCGCAAACACTCGTTCACAAACATGAAAGAACCGTCGCGCAGTTTCACCATGGTGCGTAGTCCGTTAATTTATTGCCAGGGTACCTATCGCTTCGAGATAGAAATCATACACTCGCATTCGACAAGTCGTACACGAACATACATCCGCATTCGAACACTCGTACTCGAATTATTCACGCCCTCGTTGACATCACGTGTATCGGCTTGAGAATGTCCGAAATAAAGAGGACCACCAACGTACACGTTGCTTCGAGTTGGAAACTACAATGTACCTTCAAGACATTCACGTACTCGTATCGACAAGAGTCACACGGACTCAATTCATTCGACAACATTCATCTCACGATTCGACAGCTCCAACGGTCGAGCAATTATTAGTTTTTCTCACTAGAGAATATTGAATCAGTTCGTGTGTGAGTTGACGCTGCTTGGCCCTGGCCGACCACCCTTGTAGAGGCCGGAGCGGAATTTTCGGGTGTTTATAGCTCAAAATCTTCAGCCTCGAGGCAACCGTGATCTCACAATAGAATTGTCAATCGACAATTTTATTGCAACTCTGTGAAATTGTAGTTCTCATGAAAATATTTCATACGTATTTTTTTTTAGTATTCCGTCAAATATCTCGGAAATTATTAGGAATATAAAAACCGTATTCGTTAAACTCTTTTCCGTAAAATAAGCCTATCGGTAGGGTGATACGGTTCATATTAACCTAGTAGTAACCTATTAAAGACAGCGGTGCGCCCCGGTTTTAGGAATACTAAAAAAAAATATGTGTGAAATATTTTCCTGAGAACTACAATTTCACAGAGTTGTAATAAAATTGGCGATGGTCAATTCTGTTGTGAGTTCACGGTTACTACAAGGCTAAAGATTTTGAACTATAAATAACCGAAAATTCCGCTCCGGCCTCTACAAGGGTGGTCGGCCAGGGCCAAGCAGCGTCAACTCACACGTGTCGGTAAAATTTTGTCCCTGCTCCTCGAGGAAAACAATGTACATTGTAGTTTCCAACCCTAAGCAACGTGTACGTTGGTGGTCCTCTTTATTTCGGACATTCTCAAGCCGATACACGTGATGTCTGTATTCTATCTCGAAGCAATAGGTACCCTGGCAATAAATTAACGGACTACGCACCATGGTGAAACTGCGCGACGGTTCTTTCCTTCCACTTCTGCAAAGCATGTGTTATCCTAGAACCGTTGGTTTCGTTTTACCTAAATCTTGTCGTGGTGGGAGTGAACTTACAATGTAACGATGGAAAATTACTTGGGGGTAGAGGAAGCCCTTTCGGAAAAATTCTGTCAGTCGGTTAGCAATCGGG